CGCCTCAGGCATAACAAGGGCAACGGGAATGCTGAAGGCTTTATAGAGGACTTTTTGTTTAGACACTCATAAACATAATTGACGTCATAAAAACAGACAGAGGCAGCAGCAGCAGCAGCAACAACAATGACATAATGTCATGTAAATCTGTGCAAGGATTCCCTTCATGTGTGTGTGTGTGTGTGTGGGCTTTTCCAAGCTTTTCCCCAGTTCCTCCTCAGTCGCTGTGGTAAGTGAAAATCATTAGTTTCAAGTCCCACACAAAAGCCCAAGCATTTGTTTTGTTTGAGCTACTTTAAAATGAAATGCCTCTCATGTTTTATATGGCCAAAAAAAAAAGAGGAGCGGGTCCTTTTTCCCTTAAATACGTGGTACATATATATTTTAGCTCCTATTTTTACCCACTTGCTGCCACTCCATGCCTGCATTTTTTGTATAAATTCTAACAAATTGTCTACACTTCCGACCAAACTGCGCTCTCATAGAAAAGGCCAGGCCCAGACCCCCGGCTCTGTCCTAACCTACTCCCGCTTGGCTCTCCATAAATCAAAAAGTGCTTGGCTACAGTTTCACAGTTTTGTGCATTTGCTTTGTGTCCTATCTGCGCACATTCCTATGCTCCTGCTCCTGCTCCTGACCGCTTTTCTTTACATTTTTTATGAACTCCACATTAGTTGGGAAAATGGTTGGGGAAAATGGGTGGGTAATGGGTCCACATGCTTGGCATGCCGCACTTTTGTGCGTCGTCAACTCTCACAGTTTAACATATTAAAAGTAAAGTGAAGTGTGGGTACAGTGAGAGAAAAAGAAAGGAAATTAATATAAGAAATAACTATGAAATGAAGAAAATATTTAATATAAATTAAGATAATAAATGTATAATAGTAATGTGTAGAGTGTAAAAGATATGAGTACACATACGCAGTCTGGAAAATCTTAATGAATCATAGTTTGTGAGATAAACCTTTCAATGTTGTTTTAACAAGGTGCAGTAAAAGAACCGAACTAGTAGTGGTACCTCTTAAATACTCGTATCACTAAATAGTAGTAATTTATAACTGTTTTAACCCTTTCTCTCACTGCATCAGTTATAGCCTGGCTTAAGAAAAAAGCCCACAATGAGCCAAAGAAAGGGAGCAGAAAAATGTGACTTAGGAAGGAGAGAAAACACAAGGAGGACCCGAAGGAGAAGAAGGAGTACTGGAAAGAGTCTATTGTTGCTCTCGCCTGATCCCATTCATTATTCACCATTGGCAAGTCCTCGTGTGGAATGTCCTTTGTACCACTTAGATAGATAGAGACCTCCCCCCAGCTCTGCACTTCCTGTTGCATATCCATTCAATAATTAGCACGAAGGATGGGGACTTGCAGGAGCTGGTTTTTTCCTTCACTGGAAGCGCCTTTTGAAATATAATGCCGTTATTTACACATCACTTCATTGAGCGCTGGCAATTTTTTAAGCAAACAAGTGACGCAGAGAATCGAGGTCCTTCTTTTGGGGGAAAGGCAAGTCTTATCTCTCACAGTCCCCGCTCTTGTCTCGGCTCGTTTATCAAGCTCATTAGTCGCTGTCGCATTCTCGTCCTCGTCCTCGTCCTCGCTCTCATTTACGTCCTTACAGGCACTCTGTTGTCCTTTTGCGGCGAATTATTGAACAGCATCGAAAACATTTTAAGCGCATCCTTGAGACAGGACTGAATGGAGTAGCACACCATCCTTTCCCAGTTATCCACCCCTTTTACCGCCTTGCGACGCCTTTATGCTTATTAATGACGCTACATGCAATTTATTTTTGGTTGTTAAAACGCTGGCGCATATTAATGGAAGCCATGCGCCATGTCCTGGCCAAGGAATCGCACATATCTCAGTCCAGAAAGAATACAACTTATGGAAGGAGAATCGAAAGCTTTAATTGATCTATACTAACTTGGCTAATCTTCGAAAGGAAAGCGTTTTATTTGTGTTCAGTTAAGTCAACCCTAAAACGCCTTGGTAATCATCGAAAAGCGTTGGCAGACTGCAAATTTAATTACTTAAGCTGGCTTATTACACTCAAGTGCGAGTGCTTGCAGCAATTGAGTAAGTAGTTGAGTTACCTGCAGCTTACAGGTGAACGATATTCCCCATTGGGGAAAGAGATAAACACCCAAGCCAGCCCATTCAGTATTAACCATTGAGTTTTCCGCTTCGCTTTTCCCACCCACACACACACACACACAGCTCTAGTTCCCCCTTATTTCCCTCGATATTCCTCCATTATCCTGCCTTTTGCCTTTTGCCTTCTGGCCTGATGCGCTCCCTAAAACCCTCTCTAAACTTTTGCACAAAAGGCAGCAGCAGCAGCAGCGTTGGGACTTCCCCTTTAACCCCTTGCTGCCGATGGACTGCAACTTTTTGACTTGTGCGCCTTTTGCGGCTGTTGTAGCTGCGAAAATTTATGGCCAATTCAATAAACGATTTTATTACATGCGCACGTTGTGTTAACAATGTTATTATTATTGGCGCCCAGTTCCGAAATAAGGGGTTTTCTGCCAAAGGCCCAGGGCAATGCAGTGAATTGGTTACGGGATGTTGGTGTTTTTCGAAGGGGGGAAAAAGCGGGTTAAAGGGGGAGGTCAAGTGTGGGTCAATTATTATGAAAATTAATTTATTTTCTATCGGTAATATTGGGGAGTCACTATTTTGGGTAGCACTCAACCAGAACAAGGAAGAGCACAGTCCTGGTTCTTATCGCAAGCTGGCCAGCAGCCAGGAGAGCTCCCTTTTGAGGGGGTTAAGGATTGGGGGAGGGGTTCCCCCCTTTGGCCCCTGGCAACTTAGCCAGTGAAATTGCAGTCCAAACCCGCTCATTTCCTGCATTTCCAAATGCTTTTACTTTGTTTACTTTCCTGCCAACAGTTGTTGAGCTTTGTTGCTTCAAAGCGCTGAGAGAAAATCTAAGAGATTTGAGCTAAGCAAAATAATATACAATTTTAGTTAAAAAAATTATAGTATTTTTAACTTTTCTTTAAAAACTAAAAACCTTTATTAAACTTCTTAATATATATGCTATATATTTCCTAGTGTTTTTAGTCCCACTGTGCAAATCCACTGTGCTTTACCGCTGTCAACGCTTTGCTCTTTTGTTTGTCCAATACACAAAAGGCCAGCACTCTCACAGATACTCCTCTATGGTGTTTGTGTGTGTGTTTGTGTGTGTGTGTGTGGAACCTTATTTTCTGCAACTGTGCGAGTGTGTGTGTGTAAACACAAAGAATTCATAGAAGGCGCACTCATGTGCAACCCAACAAGGCAACAAAAGTCTCATTACTTTTACTTGGCAAATAATGAAGCCAACAACAAAACACACACACACACACACACACAGGACAGCATATGTCATCAGTGTGTGTGTGTGTGTGTGTCAATTTGACAATTGACTTTGGCTCACCAACACAAACATACACACACGCACACACCCATTTTCATAGCTCATTCTTAAGGCAAGTAATTTGGCTTTGTGGCTTGAAAGATTTTGATAAAATGATTTATTTACTTATTGGCGCCTCAAGTAATATATATTCCATATATATCGGTGTGTCATTGTCCTATAAGCTTATCCTTAATGTGTGGAGGACAGCTGATATCACAAATGATGCCCAAATGTGACTCAAAAGAAAAGGATGTAAAGAAAATTATTACAAAAAGTTGTAAGGAATATATTTTTTAATATTTGTATATTTTAGTTATCTGATTTAACAGTTTGGTTACATTTTTAAGCCTCAGAAGAAAAGAATCTAAATGTTCAAAGTTTTCTAAACAAAGTAACTAGGCTTTAAAAAAAAATATATGATAAGAAAAACATTCAAAAAAAATTTTAATGGAATCATTTAGCAATCCATTTGACAACATTTGTAAGCTCTAGTAAAATATAATTAAAATATTCCATAATTTCTTTATGCAAAAATTGATTATAAATCAATAAACTTCATTTAAAATGTCACTCAACTGTATCTTAAAAATTAAAGTAAAAAACTTTTAAAGAAAGCATTTGTTAAATAATCTTATTAAAAGTTTTTTGAATTCCTGAAGAAAAGGATTAAAGTTCTAAAAGTTTTCCATATATAACCGTTTGGAAATCAATAAATAACATTGCTATAGAACTGATAATCCAACTCTTTGTTATATTACTTTTAAAATTGTTCTTACAACATTTAATTTTTGGAAGTTTCCTAATCGACTTATTATGCAATTTTCATATTTAAACACTTAAACATGATATATATATATATATGTTTCAACAAATACATATAACTGGATAAGATCTTTTCATTAATTCGTTGTTAGAAAATGTTATCCTTTTAGCTTAAATGGTGAGACCAAGACATATGCACAATCATTTTGACCAATCACTCTGGCACTCAGCTTAATTGATTTTAAAGTTCCAGCTGAAGTTTCAGTTAGTTGCCAGTGGCGGATGCCAAACAACAGATGTGTAACAGGTGGAGCAGCCAGTCCTTTGCAAAAATCCTCAACCAAAACCAAAAGAAAAATACAACAACAAAAATTTAAAAACAAAAAAACGAAACTCAACAGCAACAACGCGTCGCAAAGCTCTTGAAACTTAAAAGTTGGGCAGAGAAAAGGGGTTTTAAGGTTCGAGTTTGGTTCGGTCAGGCGGCTTTTGAGTGTTTTCCACCTGAGCACAAACTTAAGTGGCGAAACTTGATTAAAACCGCACACACACACACACACACAGAGAGAGCTGCCCCCCTAAGGCGTTTTTTGGGGAGGGGTTTGGATGCAGTGGGAAAAGTTTGTGATACGGCTAAGGACAGGTCGGGGATTAAGTTGCGGTTATGCGGCAGTAAGTCAAAGTTGCACACATTCCGCAGGAAAAAATTAAGAAAAGAGAGAAACTAGGATCACTCAAAGAGAGAATAAATGTGATATCCTTTATTATAGCCTTTAGTTTAAACACATTTATCTAGGAACTCCAGAGTAACAAACTCCAGTTCCATTCAAAAGGGCAAATCCAAGGCATATTCCTGTTGCTGAAGTCCTGGATAGTCTACAAAAACAGGAGCATATCTGGCATATGAGTCCTGAGAGTCCTGGTAGTCCTGTGACTTATCAAAGATCAAAAATCCATTAAGAGCAGATAGCAAGGATTCGTCAGCGGCAATCGAAAAGGCGGATTTCGACTTCGGTGGCGGTGGCAAGTAAGCATTTCCAGGTAATTCCGCCGACAAACAATAGACGACGGCCATCAAAAGGATCAAAATCAATGTCATTGATTGTGGCAGCATCTCGAAATGAAGATCAATTTCAGAAACTAGAAGGAAAGACTGCAAACTCAGCAAGACCTTAACACAAACTGTGCTTGCCAGAAGACAATCGATTCGCTTTTATGGCCAAAACTGCAAGGCCAAGTTAAGAGAACTTGGAGAAAAATCTTATGAATTTAATTGAAATTTTATATTTAAATTGAATAAGATTAAAATATTCTGTATTTGATTATTAAATCATTAAGGATTGTACTTAGTTAAAATTTAATACTTTATTATATGTTTATGTCACAATAAAATGACCAAGACTTTTGAGTTAATTATGGGTTCCATTCTCTTAATTAATTTTCCTATTTTATAATAGCAAATAAGGTAAGAATTATTGAAATAAACTGTTGTATGATTTAGTATTATTAATTAATTTATATTATTTTAAAACCTAGTTAAACCTTTGTCAAGTTATAAATGATTTTGCATTATTCAATCACATCACAAAAAATTTGTATCATGTAAATAATATTAAACTTTCAATAAACTCACTTTTTATTACATTTTCATTAATTGTATTCTTTAATTTCCAGTGCACACTCATAGATTGATTAAAATTCAGACCAGACCTTGGACTAAAATCAACTTTTTCGGCTTCACATTAGACATACATTTATGCCGATCCTGATCTTCGTCTGCCGACAACGCTTTATCTCGCATAAATTTCCCAATATTTTCTGTGTCGCCAGTTGATTTTCCTCCACTGGGTTTTCCGCTCTTATACTGGCACCGATGAGTTGGTGGGGAAAAACGAATGGAAATTCGACTGTCGAATGCCACCGAATCGTGGCCTTTTCAAACGCATGCGCTTTCGGAGGCGGAATATCTGACGAATTACAGCGTTTCCCGCCAAAGTCCACGGATGGAGGGCACCAGGGCATCATCTGGCGGCGCTTTGTTTACCTTTGTTATCAGTTCTTATCACGCGAAATCACAGGGACCAGGACCAAAGGCCACAGCCAGGTCTGTTCCCTTCGGGCCATCGGTGAAGTGCCCGCCCATTGGCTGGAAAAACTCTGAGGGAGTTGGGGGTCAACTGGTTTTTCCCCCCTTCTTCTAAGCCAGGGAAATTAATGTAATTCATAAATGTTTAAAGGTAATTGAAAAATATATAAAAATAGGAAAAAAGGCAACAGTCTTAAAGTTTAGGTATAAATAAATAAAGAAATTATTATAAGGTTAATTTCTCATTACAAAAATAATTTTTAAAGCCTGAATTGATAAACGAAAAATATTTAAAGCCTTGATTTAAATACTTTTATTCATTTAAAATGTGAAAATTTAAGCAAATCTGTTATATAAATATAATATTAAATTTATAATATTATGGTTAAGTGAACTAATAATTAAAATATGATGTATTCTGTATTTATTTATACAAGAAACACAAACTTTTCAATTTTAGTCAGAAGCTTGAAAAGAGTTGAAATAGTCATTTCCGACCCTATAAATCATATATATTCTTGATCAGCATGAACAGCCGAATCGATCTAGCTATCTCAGGCAGGAAAGAAAAATTTTCAAAATTTTCCCAAATTTTATAAGGGGTTACATCATTAAAATTGTCAAAAATTGATAAAAATTTGCATATGTTTTAAAGAATAAATTAAGTATGCAGCTTTGTTAACCTAACAAAAACTAGCATAGGAAAGATTTCCGAATTAAAATTAATGCATTTTTGCCTTCGTTATGATCAATCGAAACTGAGAGGTTAGTTACTCTTGTCATACTTCGGCAGCTAAATGCTAAACATATTTGCTACTATCAGCAGTTTTTGTGGGGGGGCACCAGGGGTTAAGGTATTAACCCCCTGCTGCCCTTCTGTCCCACTGCTGTGGCCTGCAACACTTCCGGCATTTAAGCAAACAAAATATGTGGCAACAAGGAGGACAACACGGCTGCAACAAGCCAGAGCGCATTTGTGTTCCCATTTCCATTTGGGGACCCTTCTAGACCCCACTGCATCCTATTCTCTAGCTTGGTTCTTTTTTTACAGATACAGCTGCAGTTAAAGAATTAGGATAGATAGAAAATTAAGCTCTAAAATTAAATTGGAAATAATTAAATACAATTTCAAAGTCTACAAAAGTCTACTTACAAGTCTCTAAGCGCGAATTGTTTTTCTAAGAATTTCAATAAATATAGAGAAGTAATAATAATTCAAAATATATTTAAAATAGAATATATAATATATAGAATACAAAATATATTATATTATTATATGTACATAATTTCTCCGGGATCCTATAAAAACTAGAGAGCTTTAAAAACCACTGGGGTTTTAAAACTCTCCAAAAAGGTATCTTTAAGTATCAAAGTTTAAAAAGAAAATCCACTGCAAATTTGTTTCATTTTTACAATATAAAATTGTAATACTTCTTTACACATATTTAAAAACAAAACCAACACCAAGAACTAACAACTTGACCCTGTCTGTGGACATTTCCACACATGTGTAGGCGGAAAATGCGGCCATGTAGGCTAATGAGTTCGTTCTGTGTCGGACGTGTCTTGTTTTCCCCTTCCCAAGATTTTCCTTTTTCTGTTTTTTTTGTTGTTGTTTTGTTTTTGTCTGCCTTGATATCCTTGCACTCTGATTTTGCTGCTGCTCTTTTTTGTGTGCCGGCTAACGAGGTCCTTCCATTGTCTTGTGATGCCACAAAACCCATAAAATGCCACCGGCGGCCGTGTCGCAACTTGGCTGGCAAGATGGGTTGAATCGAGGACACAGTTTGTGGGATTAAGATTTCGGGAATTAGATATAAAGTTTGCAGGAACACTTGTACATACATACATTTATATTTATATAATTTAATATCATATTATATTTAAAAAAAAAAAATAGATTACTAACATTTACTAGTAAAAAAAAGGTTTAGTTATCGTCTTAACCAGTTCACCCGCTGAACACTTAGCAGTTCCAGGATGAAGGCTATGAAGGCACCACCCAGCAGGGTGGCTGAGACATAGTACAGACCGCAGTAAATCTCCAGTGGAATGGGTGACACCTCATGCGGCTCCCCATTGGTATCCTGGAACAGGCTGGAATCAAACTCACGAACAAAGTGTCCAATAATGCCCGCAGAGAGCAGCTGCTTGATCTTCCTATCAAAGGCAAACTTGAGCAGCGTGTGCCTCCTCAAATAGATGACCAGCTGGTAGAGGAAGATGTGCTCCCGAATGTGAGCCAACCGGCTGGTGCTCCAGTGCATCAGATTATAGTACGACATGCTGGCAATCAGCGAGGTGCTGACCAGCCGCCTATCCTCGCCATGGTCCTGGATGTAATCAAAGCGCTCCTTGGAAGTGGTGGAAGTGAAGAGTATATAAATCTTATTACTGTATATATATATCAGCAAACTGGATACCTTGGATCCATTTCGTGTGAGCACAGTCAGATTGCGAGGATAGAAATCCAGATATTCCTGCCCGATCAGCGTGTAATTGGCGGCTATTAGCTCGGATATTTGTCCTGGCAAAGGTTTATTATAGGGCGCCCGGAAAGAGTCATACAGCTTGCCCTGATACACCACTCGCAGGACCAGGACGAGGAGCATCCAGGCAGCGTAAAAGATACGCATCCTAACGTTCGTAGGCAGACTTCGAGCCACCAGCGGATTACCCAACAGGGTGGTAAGCACATGCAGGCCATGTGCAGCCAAATCCGGGTGTCCTGTGCTAATCCTTTGCCAGGACCAAATAACCAGCATAGCCAGGATAGCGCTGACCACCAAAGAGAGCCACACGGTGGCTGTGAATGGCACCGCCAGCTGAGCCACTGCACCCATTTGCGTATCCATGTGCATCACAAAGACCAGGGAACTCTGATAGTAAGACGCCGTGGCGGAGAATTGCGAACGATGCTGATGCGAACCACTCATGGCACCAATCAGGATCGAGGAATCATTGTTAACCATCTGATCGAAGCAACCACTGCAGCCATCCTTGATGTCCCGCGACAGGCACTTATCGCAGGGCTCCTCCAGGATTATGCGAAAGCGAAAGATTTCCGCCAGGAGCTTAATCAGCTCGCCATCAATGCCAGTCAGGCGCCACATCTGTTCCCGCTCTTCCGGATCACTTTCGTTTCCCTTGAAGATTGTGAACGGTGGCAAGGAATACCAACTGACACGCAGTGGACATCCTGCTAGGCTCTTTAGCACCCGGTCGAAGCTGCGATCCTGATGGCCCTGCTGAAAGGAACCGTTTTCGTACCGATCAATCAGCTCCAAGGTGAGATTTAGGTCGCAGTTTCGATTGTACATGCGATAGCCATAGGTAAGTACCACTCCGCTTTTCTTCTGTGTAAGCAGAATCACATTGAGGGTGTGAAAACTCACACAGGTCCTGGATATATCCCTCAGTGCCTGCACAATACTCTATATAAAACCCCATTCGATAAGTTGGAATCTTTACCAACCTGAAATCTCCCTGCTCGCGAGGACATGCGACGGGTCAACAGGATCAAAAAATTATACTCCCGCGTCCCGTGCATCTCCGTGAAGTGAAAGCTCAGAGTGCTAAAAGCCTGTGCGGAGTTCACCAGGAACAGGACATAGCTGGCAGGAACTTCCTGAGGCGGTGCCTGAAACGTTCGCAATGCCATCGAATCACCGACCTCAGCGATTATGGAGCTCATCAGTTCCTCCTGACCATGATCCCGGTGCTCATCCTTGCCGGTTAGCTCTATTATAGCTAAGGTGCTCTGCGAGGGGCTCACCTGCTCGTCTAAAATATCCAGAGCAGCGGCCACCAAGGGTGTCATCTGTAAGGGCTCCGGTGGATGCAGTGCACCCAGTGCCAAGGCAAGGAATCCCAGCAGGAAACCCAGGTGCCGCAACATCATCATTCGCCCAAAGTGGTTCCCAAAACACTGCAACCGCAACTGTCGGTCATCGTTGCCAAAGAGAGGTGACTAATTACACTAATGGCAAACCTAATTTTTGCGATTTAATCGAATTTTAATTAGTGCCAATTTAGCCATGTTTATCCTGTTATCAATTCTATCAAAACGAAGCATCTAATTAGCTAATGTAGAACTAGAAAAGTCGAAGGACTAAGGCTCTTGGGGGAAAATGGTGAAAGAAAGGTAAAAGTGCTTTTAAAAGTATTTGTTGACTTGAAGTTAAAGTGAATTATCATTGGAAGAAAATATAACTAATTTTAAGTACGAGGATCCAAGTTATTTTAAAGTTCCAATAAAAATTAAAGAAATAATTCTACAGAAAGATATATAACCGACTCAAATGTAAGGGGCAATCATTATTGGCTTGGCCAGTGTAAATTGCTGCACAACAAGTGTAAAGCAAAGGATAATCCAAAATTTCTGTTTCCACAAGTGCAGCTGCGTTGGGCAAAGGCAAAAGGACTTTGGTCGGGGGCAAGGATATTTCGGTATCCTGACTTGGCTGAGACTCGCCACAGTTTTTATTTATCTTTGTTGGAAAGGCCAGTGGGAATGCAAGGCAAATGCAGCATATCTCTGTGGCTTGTTAGTCCAAGCGAAAGGCCACTCTTTATCCTACCACCAAAAAAAATATAACAAAAATTAAAAAACAGAAAGAAAATACTACCGTTGCTCCCCTTATCCACCCCCTTTTGAAGCCCATCTGGCGCGCATAAAAATTAAAAATTTCATTAAATTCACAAAAATGCTTGAAGTGGAAAAATGTAATATCCTTTGGGCACAAAGGATGTGCATATAAATGCAAATGCGGTACTCGGGGCCCGGGCGAAAGCGAAGCGATATGTCCGAAGCGCCGCAGCAGCTGCATGCATGAATGCACATACCATACACTGAGAGAAACTAAAGAAAATAGTTTGTAATACTAACTAAGAAAATATAGAAAAGAATTAAAGAAAACTCAATCATAATTCAACAAAAGGACATCTAAATTCAAGGAATGCTTTTCAGTGTTTGCTTTTGCATATAGAGTTTAAGTCATATAGTATAAAAATACTATATCCTACAACACTTTTTACCAAAAAACTTGTATATTTTATTAAATAACTTCCTTCTAGTTCTCTGACTTAATAATATATTTTTTTTCAGTGCCATGAAACTTCCACACATGCATTTCCACCCACGCTTTATCTCCACTTGACGCTGCTTACAACCTTTGTTTTTGCAATTAGTGGGCAACTTTTCATAAACAAAAGCGATATGGGATTTGGGATGGAAAACGCCATTTAAGAAAATACCCATAGAGCACAATCCGAAACTCTTGGGAAAAATTGTTCAAGTGAAAAAGAACTTTGCAGCTCCTTTCATTTGTCTAATAAGAAGTCATCAGATTGGGCCAATCGAGAAGAGAAACTGCATAGAGAGAGAAAAGGGCGGAGGAAAATTGAGAAAATCTAGGAAGGAAAAGCCAAGAAACATATGTGCCAGGCACAAGCGACAAAAGTTCGAAAATTAAAAGTTTCCCCCATGGAAGTATGCAAAAGAGTCAGTGGAGAAGTGGGGGAAATGGAAAATTTTTGCCAAGAAGCAGAAGGGAAAACTCACTGCGTGTGCATGTTTTGTGAACTGTAATTATGACGCTTGTTAGCAGTTGTATCACAAAAATGTGTGGGCCTTATTTACACGAAACAGAGTTCTTTTCAAAGCCATAAAAAAGATAATAACTATCAAAAAAGGGAACCTATCTTCGAGAAGTCGAAGTTCCCTGGTTATCCAGATACACTTAATTGGTCAGTTGATATTTTGGGGTCAAAATCACTATCACCATAAATGTTAACAGCAGGGAGACCGCAAACAGAATGAGGCAAGCGCCACATCAGTGCCTGTATTTATAGTCTCCGAGTTAAGAGAACAGAGAAAGTGAGAGCGAGAGATGGGGAGAGAGAGATAGAGAGCAAGAGATGTCTCTAGAGGTAAACAGAAAGGGATAGACATACCAAAAAAAGAGAGAGCTAGAGAGAGAAAGCGAGCGCCTGAGATAGAGAGGGAGATAGAGAAAGCCATTACAATATTTTATTGTTGTAAGAACATATTATTAATTAATAAAAATAAAAATGTTCCTCAAATAAAACAATTAAAAGTATTTTAATTGAGAAACTAGAAAAAAAAACACCTTTTTTGTAATATCCTTAAAACATTTCCCATTTAAATATTTATGTAATATTTACCAAAATTCCCAATCATGGCAGCAATTAAATTATTGGCCATGGGCAAGGGACAAAGGACACTCTAGCTCCTCTGATAACAGGAAGCCCCTTTTTTGGGCCACCCTATCCTAGTCACCTCTTTTTGCTACCTTTTACACCTTTTTTACTCCTCCCCAAACATAACACACATACAGTTTCTTAAGTTTTGTGAAAGTTCAAGCTTGGTTTGTGCATAAATTAAAAATGACAAGGATATGCCAGGACAAGTGGGCGGCATTGTGTAACCCAAGCAGGCAACAAGTTGCAACCTAACGTTGTCCTTAAAGCATCCAACCCTTTATCCTGCCACTCTCCCCCCCCCCTTTTTTGGGCATATGAAACATGAGCGAACACCATCCCGCCTACCGCGCCCCCTGGAGAAATTGTACGAATTCAGCGAAAAGTATTTTCCACCTTTAAAACGTGGCATGGAAGGTGGAAGGCTGGAAAAAAGAGGGAAATGATTTATGAATGCGAAAAACTTTTCGGACCAACTTTGTGCATTGTGTGAGTGGGCGTGGTTGGGTTGGGGGGAGGGGGAAGGATAAAATCCTCATGTTACACACGAGACAGAGGCAGGACCATGCCGCTTAATGGAATTATAAAAATGTTAACTTCAGCAGAAATTCAAACAGCGCCTCAATGTGCCACACACTCCAATGGCCAGTGCCTCGAACTAACCTTTTTTTCCCTCTTTTATGAATTCATAGTTATAATTTTGTTTAACATTTAAAGTGCCTTTGTTTGTGCACAAAAAAAAAAGCCGAAAAAAAAGAGAAGAAAGGAAAATATTTGTAGAGTCGAGAGAATACACCCAAAATCAGCCCCATTTCGATCTAGAGAAATTAAAAACAAAGCCAAATGGCAGGCCACAAAAAAAAATAGAAAATGTTAAAAAACAACAGCAAAACAAACGAAAGAGTGGAAAAATTTCAACGTCAGCAGCAGACGGCCTTTGGTTAGACCGCTGATATATCAGAAACATATCCATATACACATAGATATAGCCATGGATGAGCATAGACATACTTCGTATGTGAGCGCAGCAAGGATATTTGTGGCCAGGCAATCCAATATACTTTTCAAAGCAAACACGAGCACAACTTGAGGCTGCCACAAGGCCCGAAGAAGATGGCAAAAGGCTGACACTTGAACCCGCAGACGGGAAAGCACCACCACCACCCAGCAAACCCACACACAACCCACTTTAACCCACTACTAATACCCACTACTACAACCCACTTTGACACCCACAGGCAGTCCTTCCTGGACTGCAACAGCGGCATCAGCCAATTTCAAGCCAAGTCCTGGAAATGGACCAACTTGTAGTCCTGCAGCGGCACTCTAAGAAAAAATGTGTGCTAATTATTATATTTATTATATATTATACTTATTATATATATTATATTTTGTTATATTTAAAACACCATCTAGGGAGACTATTGAGTTTTTTTAAAGCCCTTAAAAAAGATGTCTGAAAGTATGCATTTTATTGTTTTAAATACTAAAACCCTTGGTTAATTTGTCTTATTTTACCATGTTAAATGGCTTTTAATTTAAGCTTTAATATCCTTCATTATGCACTCACTATTTATAAAGTTAAGGTTTCAATTAATAATCATAACTTAAGTCAAAAAAAATCAACATTTACAAATAATACATTGTTCTTTGATTTTATTAAAATACAAATTATAATGAAGACTTTGTGAAGGGTTAGTTTATACTTTTATATTTTTATACCCTTACATGGTATTATATCTTAAGTCAGAAGCTTGCAACTCAGTGAAGGAGTCATTTCCGAGTTAATCAATTATATATATTCTTGATCAGCATCAACAGGGGAATCTTTTCAGCTATATGCGGTCGAAAACAAACATTTTTCAGAAATTTCCCATTTTTTGAAAAAAAAGAAAAGGGATTAAAATCGTTAAAATGTTCAAAAATCGTCAAAAAATTCACATTTTTAATGGAGTATGCAGTTTTATTAACCTGATAAAAATTAACATACGAACGCTTTCCAAATTAATGCATTTTTGGCTTAGTTACGAGTTTTTTAAATTTTGATTTGTCAACAAATTTGAATATAAAAATATAGTTAATATAGATTAAAAAATGGAATTGCACCTTCAGTCAGAAGCTTAAAAGAAGATGAAGGAGCCATTTCCGAGCCTATAAATCATATATATTCTTGATCAGCATCAATAGGCAAATCTTTCTAGGCATAAAGGAAAGTAAAAAAACAATTTTAATTTTTTTCAAAAAATATATCGTTAAAATTTCAACAACAAAAATTGACAAAAAATTAAATTTCTTTAAATTCTAAACGGAGTGTGCAGATTTGTTAACCTAATAAAAACTGGCATAGGAAAGCTTTCCGAATCAAAATTAATGCCTTTTTGGCTTAGTTATGAGTTTTTAAAGATAGGATTTGTTGAACATTTTCTCAAATAAAAACCTCAATAAATATATATGCAAAGAATGAGAATATTAAAAGTTATTAGCTCTATATTTTCTAGTAAAATCACCTAGTAAGTGGATATTAATTTCTTGCAGTGCACTTCTGCTGCTCCTGCTCCAGCTCCTGATGATGTGTCTTATCTTGTCCTGCAGTGGCTGAGCGATGCCAGCGCATCCTGGAAGCTTTTTATCTTGGCGTCATGTTGATGTTTGTCGGAAACTTGATTATTTTCATCT